GTCTGGACGGTGGGTAGTACAGTGCCTGCACTATGATGGATGGGTGGGGATGTTACAGTCCTGGAGGTGGGAAGTACGTGCTAGCACATGAAGGAGGGTGGGGATGTTACAGTCCTGGAGGTCGGAAGTACAGTGCCAGCACCACTGAAGGAGGGTGGGGATGTTACAGTCCTGGAGGTGGGAAGTACAGTGCTGCACTCTGAAGGAATATTACTATTATTTTTTTTTCAGGGGAAAGATGTGCCTTGATGCTAGTGAAATAAGCTCTTGATCCATGGAATTGGAGCTACCCTCCCCTTCCTTGGATTAAATTGTAATTGATTGAGTGCCTTCCCCACAGTCGAATAATTTATTATCCCTGGTTTGATCATTACCAACATGTTCGTCTGGCACTCATGGAGTGTTTTCGAATCTGTTTGCGGTTTCCTACTCACAGCGCCATTACACAAACTCCTTACACTGGCGACTTCTGAATTTGTATGTGACTTAATAAAAATCAAAGGCAAGTGTCCTGATCTGCTTCAGAAGCTCCGCTGTGTTTTGTGTGCTGCGAAATAAGATTATTTCCATTATAATCAAGTGAATGAGGGTTCTCCTTGACTTTAAAATATTTCAACTTTATGAAGGTTGAACTTAAGATAATTAACCAGTATGAAGCCGGCAAGTCCATAACTTTTATTTGTTTATTTACTTTTCAATACTGGTATTTAGTTACAGTAATTATTTGTTTATTACTTATACATGGTAGTAGTTATATTTTTATTATTTATTTAGAGTATATTATAGCTGACTTGTGATTTTTTCAGGCTTATGATGGCGTTGTTGGGAATGGAACTCCATTGTAAGCCTCGGAGCACCTGTATATAGACTGCATTGTTTTTACATTTATTTCTTTCATATGAGTTATTAAATACAGTGGACACGCCCTTAACAATCACCTCCCAGTGTGACCAATTATGACTTAGAAATCGTAACTGACACGATTGCAAACGTGTTCATTACGGATTATTCTTAAGTCATGTTGACGGCAGTGAAGGGATGAGCTAGGTTAGTCTGGTCCACGGCTAGCTGAGATTTCGTCTGTAAAAACTTTGCATTTGTGGTCACAGAGGTGCCTGTGCTAAAACCTTCATATGGTGTAGAAATTACCTAGTTGGATGAAATCTTATTTGGCTAGTGGTCTAGTGGCTACGCGAGGGCTGGAGTTTTGAGACTATGACCGCGGGTTCAATCCCGGCCGGGGGTATGGTTCGACCAATTATGCAAGCGTATTTATGTAAGTGCGTTTGAACGTGTATGTTTGGGGGTCTGAAATGGACAAATCTACTTCACAATATTCCTTATGGGAACAAATTCGGTCAGTACTGGCACCTGAACATACTTCTGGAATGAAAAAATATCGTTAACTGGGGGTCCACTGTACAATTATTATATTCACAACACTGTTTTTGCACAAGTTTAATAAAATGCAAATACAAACGTTTTGTGTTCTGTTCGAGTGGTCTGGGCGGGCTGTTGGGTGGAGAGTGGTGTGGGCGGAACGATGTTCGGCCACTCCGCTTGGGAGTGTGATACAAGTTCTGGGTTCCACCACATCCACCGTAATAATGTTTCTCACAATTCTGGGTGTCGCTGGGAATTAAAAAAAAAATATAATAACTTTCCAAGTCATGAATATTTTCCAAATTAAGCAACTCTAATATTCATGGAGTCTAAAGCCTGTTGGGGGCCATACTGCCAACTTGGAGTGAAGGAAGTAATCAGGTCTGATCCCAGGGAAGGAAAAGGTAGATTCGGTTTTCCTGGATAAGAGCTCTGACTCCCCCCCAGTATCAATGCATGGCCTCGTGAAGGGTTAATTAAACTCATTAAGAGCCAGAATGAATTAATGAAATAAAGTGGGCCTCACTTTACAGCACTGATATTTTATGGGATTGCAATAATGCAGAGTGTTCAATTATACCATTCTTCAATTTTTTCCAGACTTCCTACAATAAATATATTCACCACTCAATATAAGCTATGATGGATAATACTTTAAGGTATGTAGTGTATGTATTGTATATGCATTATTTTAGGCCTAGCTCTGTTGCTCATTTAATACGTATATGATAGTGTAAAAATGTTAGCAGCTTGTTATGCACTTCATGGCATATTTTTCTTTTACCAGCAGTTATCCTGAACCTAACTGCTGAGGGCAGTACTACGTGACTGCATATGGATGGATGGGTGGGAATGTTACAGTCCTGGAGGTGGGGCAGTACAGTGCTGCACTCTGAAGGATGGGTGGGGATGTTACAGTCCTGGAGGTGGGCAGTACAGTGCCTGCATCTGAGGATGGGTGGATGTTACAGTCCTGGAGGTTGGGAAGATAAGTACAGATGCCTGCACACTGATGGATGGGTGGGGATGGTTAAGTCCTGGAGGTGGGCTGTACAGTGCCTGCACTTCTGAAGGATGGGTGGGGATGTTACAGTCCTGGAGGTGGGAAGTACAGTGCCTGCACACTGAAGGATGGTTGGGATGTTACGTCCTGGAGGTGGAAGTACAGTTGCCTGCACTCTGAGGTATGGGTGGGGATGTTACAGTCTGGAGGTGGGCAAGTTACAGTGCCTGCAATGAAGGATGGGTGGGGATGTTACAGTCCTGGAGGTGGCAGGACCAGTGCCTGCACTTGAAGGTATGGGTGGGGATGTTACAGTCCTGGAGGTGGGAAGTACAGTGCCTGCACATGAAGGATGGGTGGTGATGTTACAGTCCTGGATGTGGGAAGTACAGTGCATGCACACTGAAAGGATGGGTGTGGATGTTACAGTCCTGGAGGTGGGAAGTACAGTGCCAGCATCTGAAGGGATGGGTGGGGATGTTACAGTCCTGGAGGTGGGAAAGTACAGTGCCTGCTCACTGAAGGATGGGTGGGGATGTTACATTCCTGGAGGTGGGAGTACAGTTGCCTGCACACTGAAGGATGGGTGGGGAGTTACAGTCTTGGAGGTGGGAAGTACAGTGACTGCACTCTGATGGATGGTGGGGTTGTTACAGTCCTGGAGGTGGCAGTTTCAGTGCCTGCACTCTGAAGGATGGCGTGGGGTGTTACCAGTCATGGAGGTGGCAAGTACAGTGCCTGCACTTATGAAGGAATGGGTGGGGATGTTACAGTCCTGGAGACAGGTGGGCAGTACAGTGCCTGCACTTGAAGGATGGGTGGGGATGTTACAGTTTGGAGGGTGGGCAGTATTGTGCCTTGCACTTCTGAAGGATGGGTGGGGATGTTACAGTTCCTGGAGGTGGGCAGTACAGTGCCTGCACCTCTGAAGGATGGCAGTGGGGTTGTTACAGTCTGGAGGTGGCAGTACAGTGCCTGCACTCTGAAGGATGGGTGGGGATGTTTACAGTCCGGAGGTGGGCGTTACAGTGCCTGCACTTGAAAGGATGGGTGGGGATGTTACAGGTCTTCCTGGAGAGGGGTAGTACAGTGCCAGCACTCTGAAGGATGGGTGGGGTTGTTACAGTTCCTGGACGGTGGGAAGTACAGTGCTGCACATGAAGGTGGGTGGGGAATGTTCAGTCCTGGAGGTGGGAAGTACGTGCCAGCCTCTGAAGGATGGGTGTGGTTGTTTGTTATAGTCCGGAGGTGGAAGTTACAGTGCCTGCACACACTGAAGGATGGGTTGGGGATGTTACAGTCCTGGAGGTGGGCAGTACAGTGCCTGCACACTGAAGGATGGGTGGGTGTTACAGTCCTGGAGGGGGCTGGGCCATACAGTGCCTGCACACTGAAGGATGGGTGGGGATGTACAGTCTGGAGGGTGGGCAAGTACAGTAGCCTGCACAACTTGAAAGGATGGGTGGGATGTTACAGTCCTGGGAGAGTGGGCAGTACAGTGCTGCACCTGAAGGATGGGGTGGGGCATTGTTACAGTCCTGGGCGTGGGGCAGTACAGTGCCTGCACACTGAAGGATGGGTGGGGAGTTACGTCCTGGATGGTGGGAAGTACAGTGCCAGCACACTGTGAAGGATGGGTGGGGATGTTACTGTCTGGAGGTGGGAAGTACAGTGCCTGCACACTGAGGATGGGTGGGGAAGTTACAGTCTGGAGGTGGGGAAGTACAGTGCCGCACACTGAAGGATGGGTGGGGGTGATACAGTCCTGGAGTTGGAGTACAGTACCTGCACATGATAGGAATGGGTGGGTTGTTACAGTCCAGGAGGTGGGAAGTACAGTGCCAGCACACTGAAGGATGGGTGGGGATGTTATAGTCCGGGAGGTGGGAAGTACAGTGCCTGCATCTGAGGGACTGACTTAAGTGTGTCTAGCTCCTCCGTGAAGACAGTCAGGGGTCTATTGGTAATCCCCCTTATGTATGTTGGGAGGCAGTTGAATAATCTTGGGCCCCTGACACTTATTGTGTTGTCTCTTGATATACTCATGGCACCCCAGTTTTTCATTGGGGGGATGTTGTCAAGGGAGTGATTTCTGTGTGTAGATTTGGGACTAGTCCCTCTGAGATTTTCCAAGTGTATATTATCATGTATCTTTCTTGCTTGAGTTCCAGAAAGTACAAAGCAAGGGACTTCAGCCGTTACTAGCAATTTAGACGCTTTATTGTACGTACTTATATGTGCAGTGAAAGTTCTCTGTACATTCTCCAGGTCTGCATTTTTTGCCTGCCTTGAGAGGGGCAATTTATGTACAGCAATATATACAACGCACACACACACACACACACACACACACACACACACACACACACACACACACACACACACACACACACACACACACACACACACACACACACACACACACCAACATCCCAACACAATACACTTATTCTTTCAACAAACCAGCCATATCCCACTAAGGCAGGGTGGCTCAAAAGGAATAACAAAAGTTTCTCCTTTTAAATTTAGTAATAGTATATACAGAAGAGGGGGTTAGTAGCTCCTTGCTCCCTAACATGACTCATATCAACAATAATAAAGATGGAATACTCACGCAACATATGTCCACCTACTAAGGAAGGCTAGACACACATGACCCTCAGTATTGAATGGTGGCAGTTTACAATGTGGTGGCAGCTGGTCAACACATCCATCAGTCCTGCAACACAAATAAATTTCTCTGTATGGTATTCATGCACATCTGGTTATTCACATAAAAATAAATTCAGTAATACAGTACCAAAGTCCAGTGGTGGACTTACATCTTTGGGGCCCTAAGGCTTGAAATGTTATGGGGGACTCCTTTGCAACCAGCAATTCTTAGCCTACATGATACTTTAATAACCTTTTAATTTTTATTTTGACTATTATTTTGCATAAAATTACAGTATATTATTTTTTGAAAAAAACCTTGTACAGTAGACCCAAGATTTTTAATCAACGTGGACTAAAGTAGATGCGTCCCTGCTCAAGTCGTACTTTTAAAACTGCACCGTTCTTATTGTGTACATAATTGTACTTAACTTCCTAAGAAATCCTATTTACAAACCATGGAATGGGTGGGGTTTGAACCCATGGCAAGTGAATCTTAAAACTCCAAGCCAGGACTCACCATGGGTTCAAATCCCACCTGTTCCAAGTTTTGTTTACAACTGTGTCATTAAGATTTTGTGAGTTAAGTTAAATCCTCCTTTATAGTCTATATCTAAATCTTAAATTTTCTTTAAACATTAGGATTAAATTTCCTTGCTTTTGTGTCTAATAAATGCTTTATTATATGTGAACTAAATTATTTTTGTACTGTATAAATAAAAATAAAAATTTTAATGAAAGTCGAGGTCCACAGTAAACATGACTTAGCACCAACACTGAAGGATGAGATTTTGTTTGGATTTTTAACCAAGAGGGTTAGCCACCCAGGATTAACCAAGAAAGTCAGGGTGTCATTGAAGACTGTCTTATTTCCATTGTAGTCCTCAGTCTTGTCCCTCAGGATGCACTCACACCAGTCCGCTAACAAGGTACCTACCTACTGCTAGGTGAACAGGGACAGCAGGTGTAAGGAAAATGCTCAATATTTTCACCCGTACTTAAGATTGAATCACGGACACTCAGTGTGTGAGGCGAGAGCATTGCCTATCAGGCCACGGGACACCGTGAAAATGCTGCACTTCAGCAGGTCATCTGAACTGGCAAGATAGCTTTGAAATGTGTTTCCTCATTTCTGGGTCTCACTACTTTGCTGGGAAATGGGATTTTATTATTTTATTATCACACTGGCCGATTCCCACCAAGGCAGGGTGGCCCGAAAAAGAAAAACTTTCACCATCATTCACTCCATCACTGTCTTGCCAGAAGGGTGCTTTACACTACAGTTTTTAAACTGCAACATTAACACCCCTCCTTCAGAGTGCAGGCACTGTACTTCCCATCTCCAGGACTCAAGTCCGGCCTGCCGGTTTCCCTGAATCCCTTCATAAATGTTACTTTGCTCACACTCCAACAGCACGTCAAGTATTAAAAACCATTTGTCTCCATTCACTCCTATCAAACACGCTCACGCATGCCTGCTGGAAGTCCAAGCCCCTCGCACACAAAACCTCCTTTACCCCCTCCCTCCAACCTTTCCTAGGCCGACCCCTACCCCGCCTTCCTTCCACTACAGACTGATACACTCTTGAAGTCATTCTGTTTCGCTCCATTCTCTCTACATGTCCGAACCACCTCAACAACCCTTCCTCAGCCCTCTGGACAACAGTTTTGGTAATGGGTAATGGGAAATGGGAAATGGGATGTGTGTTTAAAATGAAAATACTATCTTACTTGTTTCCTGTACACTGCAGAGTTTCTGGTACTGGTTCAGCACACAGCTTTTTTGTGCAACCAGCTGTCCCATTTATGCAATGGCACGTATTGCAGTCTTGTTTCCAGGACGATCCTTCAATGCAACTTTTTTTAGGCATGTCTGTTTGAACTAAAAATATATATTGTTAATGATATATCAAGTGAAATGTTTAAAAATCAACAGTATCAATAGCTACAGCTGTATAGCCCTTGTGGCTTGGTGCTTCTTTTTGATTATAATAATAATAATTAATAGCTATAACTAGTTAATGAAACAGAGTGAATAAATGTTGTTTTTATGCTGAACGATTCTTTCAACCTGTATTGTACTTGTTCTTGTCTATCATTCCTTCCACTCATGTAGTTATATTCATCCTTAATACAGTAGGACTGTATATGCAGGTCTGGATGCCACAGTTTATCTGTGGTTTACTGCAGCCTGAAAATAACCCTTAATTTTCTTAATAATGGCACCAAAATTCAGTAATGATGATGGTAGCTCTTCAAAGCCTAAGAGAGGCCATGAAGTGCTTCCCATCAGTGAAAAACTGCTAATTCTCCACTTATTGTGCATAATTTATCAGTTAAACTTTATGATGGGTATGTAAATGAAAAAGACTTATATAGGGTTTGCTGCTATCCATGGTTTTGAGAATCCACCATGGGTCCTGGAACATATCACCCACGGATATGAGGGGTCCTACTGTATATCAATAATTAAAATTTTTTTATTGAATTACTAAATACTTCCAATATAATAACAACTATGTATTATTATTCTCATATACTGTACTTTTAATCATAATTTAGTTTTTAAAGCTGCCCAAATTGCCTGCATAATAAGTGTCTTTCTATAAAGTAGTATATATATGTCAATCACTATGACTGTATTATATACAGTGGAGCCCTGAGTTTTGGCCGTAATCTGTTCCAGGAGCTAGGTATAAACTCGAAACAGCCAAAAGACGAAGCAATATTTCCCATAAGAAATAATGGGAATAAAATTAATTCATTCTAGACCCACAAAAAAATTCACAAAAAATACATTTTTTACAGAATAACTATAGTTTTACATACCCACAACACAGATAAATACATATATATCATACAATACATACATAAATTACAATTTAAATAAACATTTAAAATAACATTTACTTACCTTTATTGAAGAGACTTGCTGGCATCTGGAAGATAGGAGAAGAGAGGGAGTTGAGGTTATTGTTTGGAAAGGGAATCCCCCTCCATAAGGACTTTAGGTAACAAGTTCTTATCTGGGGTTTCTTCCCTTTTTTGTCTTTTAAGGCCACTAGGACCAGCTTGAGAGTCACTGGAGCCCTGTTGCACAACATAACTGTCAAGAGTGCTCTGTTTCTGGCATCTCTAAGATTTCCCTGAAGTGGGACAAGGTATTTTTCTACTATCTCCTCCTTCACTGCTCTGATGTTCCTCACTTTCTTTACCACAGGGTCCATGGTGGCTTATTTCATAGTCACAGTTAATGGCTGGCTGGATGCCTGGCTGGCTGGCTGGATAGCTGGCTGGATGGCTGGTTGGATGCCTTGCTGCCTGGCTGGATGGCTGCCTTGCTGCCTGGCTGGCAGGCAGGCAGGATGAGAGTGCAGGGCAATGTTCACTCAAGGATAAACAACTCTAGACTGGCTCATGATGCCTGTGCGGGCAGACGCACAGGTCTGGTATGCCGGCTGAAACCTGGGGCAACAGCCGAAATGCGGGACAAAATTTGGCTGAAAAAAGCGGCCAAAACCCGAAGCGGCCAATTATCAGGGCAACCGAAACCCTGGGTTTCACTGTACTGTACTCCACTATAGAGATATACTGTGTTTAAAGTTCATGCATCTGTAACCTTCAAGGAGGAGGAGGAGGAGGAGGAACTATAATGCTGGAGAAGTGCTCATGGTGTAAGGAACTGAAGCTACCCTTCAGTTTCCCTGAATCAAACCCCTGATTACCTCATAACAATATGGGTCTCTACCATATGACCTTTATGGGTTTTATACTTCCCTATAATTATAATCATGCAGAAACTGTTTCTCCTTTGCAAAAAATCTCGAAGTACAGTACCATATTCAAACTACTGTATAATTAAAATGTACGTGTATGTATACCATAAGAACATTGATGAAATAAATTTGACTAAATGAAATCTCTGACCATAGCTCACTCACTTCTCATCCTGTTTCCTATATGTATATTTCATAATAAAAATTACATCAAAATAATGCAAGAATAGGCTTTCAAATTAGCTGAAGTGGGTAACAGCTTTTACCTTACCAAACCATGGAATGGGCGAGGGTTTGAACCTAAAATTCACAAGCCAGTGCTTGTAATTAAAGGTAGGAACTTAACCTGACCCTGTAGAAACCTAGTTGAATGGCTATACCCTTGCCTGTGGTCACAAACGTCTAAGGATCATTTCTCCAGTGAATATCATAGTAAAATGATACAAAATATAATTGATTGTACAAACACTTGTGTAATGACAAAAAAAAAAAAATCTATAGACTCTTACTGCAGAGTTTTTCGGTGCAAAAAGCTTTGCCATTCTTACAGTTGCACCAGTTACAGTTATCTTGCTTCCAGTGTGATCTCTCAGTGCACACAACCTGCCCCGGGCGAGGCTTATAATCTGTTGATAGAAACAATGGCATCAGATTAAATAATTCAAATGTACAACAAATACAATAGTATAGTGTAGGAACAAAAGCAGTCAAGGTGCAGTCAAGGTCTTCGTGTTCCCACTTCTGACAATGTTCTGATGTCGATGAAGAGCTCTTGGCTCAAGGAACTGGGGCTACCCTCCCCTTCCTTAGATCAAACCTGATTAACTTTCATTTCTCAGGAGAAATGGGAATAGGAATTTAAAACAGCAGTGCAATAAGCCTACTGACCCATGCAAGGAAGGTCCTACTTACTCAATACTCTATGACCCACATGAGTTTAGTGCTTCTCCATGAACATAATAATGAATGCCAATGGAAATAAGTGACTGACTTTTTTTGGGGTTATCCTATTGGGTAATATAAACATTTAACTAGGTGTGATAAGGGAAATTGGTTTTGCCATTCATAAATTTCAACTTTTGTCACACACTCTGGAACAGATTAATTATGAAATTCGAAGGTTCACTGTACGTGATGTAATGACGTACTATACAGCCTCTCCTCACTTAACGACTGAGTTCTGTTCCTAAGACCACATTGCTAAATGAATTTGTCGCTAAGTGAGGAGCATATTATAATGGTAGTGGGTTTATGTCAACCATCTTTGGTATTGTTTTAATGTTAACTTTGCACCATTTAAAACATTTCTGGTATATTTTTAAATGTTTATACAGTAATGTATATTGTAATACACAGAGGAAATCAGCTCTAATATACACTATTTAGGTATGCACACTGGTCAGTATGCATACCTAAATAATGCATTATACAGGTAGGTAGTAGGTTGGTAGACAGCAACCACCCAGGGAAGTACTACCGTCCTGCCAGATGACTGTGAAACAGAAACCTGTAACTGTTTTGCATGATGGTAGGATTGCTGGTTTCTTTTTCTGTCTCATAAACACGCTAGATAACAGGGATATCTTGCTACTCCTACTTACACTTTGGTCACACTTCACAGACATGCACATGCACATATATATACATACATCTAGGTTTTTCTCCTTTTTGTAAATAGCTCTTGTTCCTCTTTATTTCTTCTATTGTCCATGGGGAAGTGGAAAAGAATCTTTCCTCCGTAAGCCATGCGTGTCGTATGAGGCGACTAAAATGCTGGGAGCAATGGGCTAGTAACCCCTTCTCCTGCAGACTTTTACTAAAAAAGAGAAGAAGAAAAACTTTATAAAACTGGGATGCTTAAATGTGCGTGGATGTAGTGCGGATGACAAGAAACAGATGATTGCTGATGTTATGAATGAAAAGAAGTTGGATGTCCTGGCCCTAAGCGAAACAAAGCTGAAGGGGGTAGGGGAGTTTCGGTGGGGGGAAATAAATGGGATTAAATCTGGAGTATCTGAGAGAGTTAGAGCAAAGGAAGGGGTAGCAGTAATGTTGAATGATCAGTTATGGAAGGAGAAAAGAGAATATGAATGTGTAAATTCAAGAATTATGTGGATTAAAGTAAAGGTTGGATGCGAGAAGTGGGTCATAATAAGCGTGTATGCACCTGGAGAAGAGAGGAATGCAGAGGAGAGAGAGAGATTTTGGGAGATGTTAAGTGAATGTATAGGAGCCTTTGAACCAAGTGAGAGAGTAATTGTGGTAGGGGACCTGAATGCTAAAGTAGGAGAAACTTTTAGAGAGGGTGTGGTAGGTAAGTTTGGGGTGCCAGGTGTAAATGATAATGAGACCCCTTTGATTGAACTTTGTATAGAAAGGGGTTTAGTTATAGGTAATACATATTTTAAGAAAAAGAGGATAAATAAGTATACAAGATATGATGTAGATATGATGGTAGATAAAAGACTGTTGAGTAGACTTCAGGATGTACATGTTTATAGAGGGGCCACAGATATATCAGATCACTTTCTAGTTGTTGCTACACTGAGAGTAAAAGGTAGATGGGATACAAGGAGAATAGAAGCATCAGGGAAGAGAGAGGTAAAGGTTTATAAACTAAAAGAGGAGGCAGTTAGGGTAAGATATAAACAGCTATTGGAGGATAGATGGGCTAATGAAAGCATAGGCAATGGGGTCGAAGAGGTATGGGGTAGGTTTAAAAATGTAGTGTTAGAGTGTTCAGCAGAAGTTTGTGGTTACAGGAAAGTGGGTGCGGGAGGAAAGAGGAGCGATTGGTGGAATGATGATGTGAAGAGAGTAGTAAGGGAGAAAAAGTTAGCATATGAGAAGTTTTTACAAAGGAGAAGTGATGCAAGGAGGGAAGAGTATATGGAGAAAAAGAGAGAGGTTAAGAAGTGGTGAAGCAATGTAAAAAGAGAGCAAATGAGAGAGTGGGTGAGATGTTATCAACAAATTTTGTTGAAATTAAGAAAAAGTTTTGGGAGTGAGATTAACAAGTTAAGAAAGCCTAGAGAACAAATGGATTTGTCAGTTAAAAATAGGAGAGGAGAGTTATTAAATGGAGAGTTAGAGGTATTGGAAGATGGAGGGAATATTTTGAGGAATTTTTTAAATGTTGATGAAGATAGGGAAGCTGTGATTTCGTGTATAGGGCAAGGAGGAACAACATCTTGTAGGAGTGAGGAAGAGCCAGTTGTGAGTGTGGGGGAAGTTCGTGAGGCAGTAGGTAAAATGAAAGGGGTAAGGCAGCCGGGATTGATGGGATAAAGATAGAAATGTTAAAAGCAGGTGGGATATAGTTTTGGAGTGGTTGGTGCAATTATTTAATAAATGTATGGAAGAGGGTAAGGTACCTAGGGTTTGGGCAGAGAGCATGCATAGTTCCTTTGTATAAAGGCAAAGGGGATAAAAGAGAGTGCAAAAATTATAGGGGGATAAGTCTGTTGAGTATACCTGGCAAAGTGTATGGGAGAGTTATTATTGAAAGAATTAAGAGTAAGACGGAGAATAGGATAGCAGATGAACAAGGAGCTTTAGGAAAGGTAGGGGTGTGTGGACCAGGTGTTTACAGTGAAACATATTAGTGAACAGTATTTAGATAAGGCTAAAGAGGTCTTTGTGGCATTTATGGATTTGGAAAAGGCGTATGACAGGGTGGATAGGGGGGCAATGTGGCAGATGTTGCAGGTGTATGGTGTAGGAGGTAGGTTACTGAAAGCAGTGAAGAGTTTTTACGAGGATAGTGAGGCTCAAGTTAGAGTATGTAGGAAAGAGGGAAATTATTTCTCAGTAAAAAGTAGGCCTTAGAAAAGGGATGTGTGATGTCACCGTGGTTGTTTAATATATTTATAGATGGGGTTGTAAGAGAAGTAAATGCGAGGGTCTTGGCAAGAGGCGTGGAGTTAAGATAAAGAATCACACAAAGTGGGAGTTGTCACAGTTGCTCTTTGCTGATGACACTGTGCTCTTGGGAGATTCTGAAGAGAAGTTGCAGAGATTGGTGGATGAATTTGGTAGGGTATGCAAAAGAAGAAAATTGAAAGTGAATACAGGAAAGAGTAAGGTTATGAGGATAACAAAAAGATTAGGTGATGAAAGATTGGATATCAGATTGGAGGGAGAGAGTATGGAGGAGGTGAATGTATTCAGATATTTGGGAGTGGACGTGTCAGCAGATGGGTCTATGAAAGATGAGGTGAATCATAGAATTGATGAGGGGAAAAGGGTGAGTGGTGCACTTAGGAGTCTGTGGAGACAAAGAACTTTGTCCTTGGAGGCAAGAGGGAATGTATGAGAGTATAGTTTTACCAACGCTCTTATATGGGTGTGAAGCATGGGGGATGAATGTTGCAGCGAGGAGAAGGCTGGAGGCAGTGGAGATGTCATGTCTGAGAGCAATGTGTGGTGTGAATATAATGCAGAGAATTTGTAGTTTGGAAGCTAGGAGGAGGTGCGGGATTACCAAAACTGTTGTTCCAGAGGGCTGAGGAAGGGTTGTTGAGGTGGTTCGGACATGTGGAGAGAATGGAGCGAAACAGAATAACTTCAAGAATGTATCAGTCTGTAGTGGAAGGAAGGCAGGGTAGGGGTCAGCCTAGAAAGGTTGGAGGGAGGGGGTAAAGGAGGTTTTGTGTGCGAGGGGCTTGGACTTCCAGCAGGCATGCGTGAGCGTGTTTGATAGGAGTGAATGGAGACAAATGGTTTTTAATACTTGACGTGCTGTTGGAGTGTGAGCAAAGTAACATTTATGAAGGGGTTCAGGGAAACCGGCAGGCCGGACTTGAGTCCTGGAGATGGGAAGTACAGTGCCTGCACTCTGAGGAGGGGGGGTTAATGTTGCAGTTTAAAAACTGTAGTGTAAAAACACCCTTCTGGCAAGACAGTGATGGAGGAATGATGGTGAGATTTTTTCTTTTTGGGCCCCCCTGCCTTGGGGGGTAAAATGGCCAGTGTGATAATAAAAATAAAAAAAACAAAAAAAAAAATTAATTATACATTTTTTAGGAGCTTACTGGCCGTTGAAAGCCGAGCGTCAGTAACAAGACGTCACAAAGTGAGGAGAGGCTGTTTTTTAATTTTACAGCGAAACTGTGAACATTTTCCATTTAAATCTCTGGATTTCCCTCTAGCGGGCAGGGGACCTTGTGCTACAGCCCCTAAAGCCCTCCCTTATTCCATCCCTGTTTTTAGCCATAATGTATCCTCTCTCATCGAAATTAATGGAAGTAGCAAAGAACAAGCAAAAAAAAGATTAAAAATTGGAACTATACTTGGTGGAAACCCTTCATTGCGCAGGCACTTTTTGGCACCTTTATTTGCCCGAAACACCAATTGCAATTCATCATCCATCTCTCCTGGCTTACTGGGTATAAGCAGGAGGGGGTGGATCATAACCACTAAATCTAAAAAAAAAAAGGGTGTAAGTCAGTAGGCATTGTAGCTTGAGAAGGTTTAGTGTGGCTCTTGACCCAAGGGGAACTGAAGTTACCCCCCTTTTCATGGATAAACCCTTAAATTACTGCCCGTCTCAGATAATGAATGTATGTTCAAAGATGTAATAACAATTTTTTACTCTTGTTCAATTTTATTAATAAAAACAATAAAAAAAAATTTTTATATTCTCATTATAGTGAAACACTATTATGTGACAAAAGTTAAAATTTTTTTATATTTCGCATGATACAGTTTTTTGTACAGAGATGGGTGAATTTGGGAAAAAACAATGAAGGCAGCAGTGGAACACAAAGTAACAGAATGGAAGGACTGGAAGCAAGGAAATTCTCCCCTGCTGGGGGTGGAACGCCCTAAAATGGCCCCCACTCCACTCCCATCTTCACGGAGCCAAACAGCTGTTGCAGCCGTCATGCCACACTTCGTGGCAAAACACACGGTGCCAAGGGGGAGGTCGGGGAAGTTTGGATCAGGTACAGTATCCACGTGTCAGAAAAAAAAAAAAGGAAGGCATGTCAGCAAATTTTCACAGACATAAAACGGGGGAGTCCCAAATAAAAATTTTATAAGTAATAATTATATTTTTAACCATTGGCTGTTTCCCCCCAAGGCAGGGTGGCCCGAAAAAAAAAAAAATTTTCCCACATTCACTCCCCCATCGTGTTTTCCCAGAGGCACACAAAACCACATTTAAAAAAAACTGTAAAAATTATTTCTTTTAGGTACATGATGCAGCTTATACAACCAAAACTGACATTAATGACATCTTTTTCAAGAAAACGACTGTATTTCACCGAAGCAGGGTGGCCCAAAAAAGAAAAAAAAAAGTTTTCTTTTTGATTTAGTAATGTATACAGAGGGGGTTACTAGCCCCTTGCTCCTGGCATTTTAGTCGCCTCTTACGACATGCATGGCTTACGGGGGAAGAATTTCCCTTCCACTTCCCCATGGGGATAAAAAGAAAAAACAAGAAAAAAGAACTAATAAGAAAAATAGAAGAAAACCCAGAGGGGTGTGTATATATATGCTTGTAACATGCATGTGTAACGTGACCTAAGTGTAAGTAGAAGTAGCAAGACATACCTGAAATCTTGCATGTTTATGAGACAGACAAAAGACACTAGCAATCCCACCATCATGTAAAACACTTGGTAGGAGGGTAGTATACTTCCCTGGGTGTTTGCTCTCTACCAGCCTACTTCCTGGAGTTTACCTGGAGAGGGTTTTGGGGGTCAACGCCCCCACGGCCCGATCTGAGACCAGGCCTCATGGTAGATCAGGGCGTGATCAACCAGGCTTTTACTGCTGGCCATACGCAAGTGGAAAGAACCCTAGCCGGTTGGTTTAGGTATTGACTTTAGGCCCTGTCCTGCCTTTTTGAAGACAGCAGGGGTCTATTGCAATGCCCCCTTTTGTATGCTGGGAGGGAAATTTAACAGTCTTGGGTCCCCAGACACTTACTGTGTTGTCTCAGTGTACTCGTGGTGCCCCTGCTTTTCATCGGGGAAATGTTGCATCTCCTGCCAAGTCTTTTGCTTTCATATGGAGTGATTTTCGTTTGCAGGTTTGGTACCAATCCCTCTAGGACCTTCTAAGTGTATTATCATGCATCTCCTTGCCTGATAAGAATGTTGGGAAAACTGAGGAAGGCCTACTGGCCCATGCGAGGCAGGTCCTTATCAAAACAACCTCTACCTAAAGTTACCTAAGAAATAACTCCCGTACCCAATGACACCATTCAAACAGACCAAGGACCTTCAACTGTTCCCAGTAGTTTAGGTGCCTTATTGCACTTAATGACATTAATGACATACTATATAAAAAAAACTTGTTATGCAGAGCATTTCAGGCAAATTAGGTCAATTTTGTCCCCAGGATGAGACCCACACCAGTCAGATAACACCTGGGTACCTACTTACTGCTAGATGAACAGTGACAGCAAGTGTAAGGTGACTAATACCAAGGTACCTCCTTACTGCTAGGTGAACATGGACAGCAGGTGTCTTAAGTAAACATGTCCAATGTTTCCAGCCATACCGGGGATCAAACCATGGACACTCAGTGTGTGAGCTGAGTGTGCTACCAACCCAGCTACAGCAACTCTTAACCTAACCTTATACAAACACTTGTGTAAAGACAAAAAAAAAAAAAAATCTACAGAATCTTACCACAGAGCTTTTCAGTGCAAGAGGCTTTGCCATTGTTACAGTTGCACCAGTTACAGTTGTCTTGCTTCCAGCGTGATCCCTCGGTGCACACAGCCTGCCCTGGCTGAGGCTTATAATCTGTTGACGGAAGCAATAGTATCAGAGTAAAAAATTCAAATGTACAAGAAATACAGTGGACCCCCGGTTAACGATATTTTTTCACTCCAGAAGTATGTTCAGGTGCCAGTACTGACCGAATTTGTTCCCATAAGAAATATTGTGAAGTAGATTAGTCCATTTCAGACCCCCAAACATACACATACAAACGCACTTACATAAATACACTTACATAATTGGTCGCATTCGGAGGTAATTGTTATGCGGGGGTCCACTGTACAACATATTTTAGGAACAAAAGCAATCAAGGTTCAGTACATGCTCTTCGTGTTCCCACTTTTGATACAATGCGCTGATGTTGGTGAAGGGCTCTTGATTCAAGGAACTGGGGCTACCCTCTCCTTCCTTGGATCAAACCTGATTTCCTCTCATTTTCCAGGGGAAATGGGAATAGCAATTCAAAGCAGCAGTGCAATAAGCCTACTGACCCATCCAAGAAAGGTCCTACTTAATGCTCTATGACCCTCATGGGTTTAGTGCTTCTCCATGAATATAATGAATCCCAGTGGATTATTATTATAATCACAGGGGAGCACTAAATCTGTAGGATTATACAGTGCATGTGGGGGGGCATAGAAGGTATTCAGGGAACCAGAGCACAGATCCAATTCCCTAGATCAAGAGCCCCTCACCAGTGTCAAGGAACCTCCCTTGAGGGGAATCCCAATGGAAACAAGTCACTGACTTGTTTTTTGCTTATCATGGTGGGTAATTTACACACCTGTAGCTTCTTTCTTCTTTCTTTCAACACACTGGCCATATCCCACCAAGGCAGGGTGGCCCAAAAAGAAAAACGAAAGTTTCTCTTTGAAATTTAGTACAGTGGACCCTCGACTAATGATATTAATTGGTACCCGAGAACGATTATCGTTAGTCGAGTTTTTTAATGTTAGTCGAGGCAACATGTTAGCATTAACATGTATCGTTAGTTGAATTTAACTTTAGTCGATGCAATCGTTGGTCGAGGGTCCACTGTAATTTATATGGGAGAAGGGGTTACTAGCCCCTTGCTCCCGGCATTTTAGTCGCCTCTTACAACACGCATGGCTTACAGAGGAAGAATTTTGTTCCACATCCCCATGGAGATAAGAGGAAATAAACAAAAACTAGAAAGAAAATAGAAGAATACCCAGAGGGGTGTGTATATACAGTGTATATGCTTGTACATGTATGTGTAGTGTGACCTAAGTGTAAGTAGAAATAGCAAGACATACCTGAAATCTTGCATGTTTATGAGACAGACAAAAGACACCAGCAATCCTACCATCATGTAAAACAATTACAGGTTTTCGTTGTACACTCACTTGGCAGGACGGTAGTATCTCCCTGGGTGGTTGCTGTTTACCAACCTACTACCTAGGACACCTGTAGCTATGTATGAGAATTGTACTTGTGTATCAGTACTTAAATAAACTTAATTCTTACACCCAACCATTCCCACTACCTGGAGTCTATCTGCTGGGTGTTTTGGGGATCAACGCCCCCATGGCACAGTCCTATTTTAAATGTCTAAAAAACTAGTTTCAATAATGCTACTTGATCTAGAAGACAAACAGAATGCAGATGTAATACAGTGGACCCCCGGTTAACGATATTTTTTTCACTCCAGAAGTATGTTCAGGTGCCAGTACTGACCGAATTTGTTCCCATAAGGAATATTGTGAAGTAGATTAGTCCATTTCAGACCCCCAAACATACACGTACAAACGCACTTACATAAATACACTTACATAATTGGTCGCATTGGGAGGTGATCGTTATGCGGGGGTCCACTGTATACACAGACTTTGCAAAAGCCTTTGGCAAGTGTGACCATGGTGTAATAGCACACAAAATGCGTGCTAAAGGAATAACAAGAAAAATTGGTAGATGGATCTATAATTTCCTAATAAAAAGAACAAATAGTCAACAGAGTAAAATCTGAGGCAGCTACAGTGAAAAGCTCTTGTTCCTCATCCTCATATCTGACACAGACAGATATATAAGCCACAGCAACGTGTCTTCCTTTGCAGATGACACCCGAATCTGCATGACAGTGTCCTCCATTGAAGACACTGCAATACTCCAGGTGGACATCAACCAAATCTTTAAATGGGTTGCAGAAAACAATATGAAGTTCAATGATGAATTCCAATTACTCCAATATGGAAAACGTGGAGAAATTAAATCTGCATTGCAGTATAAAACAAAATCCAACCACACAATAGAGTGAAAAACTAGTGTCCAAGACCTGGGAGTGATCATGTCGGAGGATCTCGCCTTCAAAGACCATAACATTGTATTAATTGCATCTGCTAGAAAAATGACAGGATGGATAATGAGAACCTTCAAAACTAGGTATACCAAGCCCATGATGGCACACTTCAGTTCGCTTGTTCTATCTAGGCTGGCATATTGCTGCACACTAACAGCACCTTTCAAGGCAGGTGAAATTGCTGACCTAGAAAATGTACGGAGAACCTTCACAGCACACATAACTGCAATAAAACACCTCAATTACTGGGAAAGCTTGAAGTTCCTCAACCTGTATCCCTAGTATGCAGGTGGGAGAGATACATGATTATGTACACTTGGAAAATCCTAGAGGGATTAGTACCAAACTTGCACACGAAAATCACTCCCATTGAAAGCAAAAGACTCGGCAGATGATGCAACATCCCCCCAGTGAAAAGCAGGGTTGCCACTAGCATGATAGAGACAACACAACAAGTGTCAAGGGCCCAAGACTGTTCAACTGCCTCCCAGCATACATAAGGAGGATTACCAATAGACCCCTGGCTGTCTTCAAGTAGGCACTGGACAGGCATCTAAAATCAGTACCTGACCAGCCGGGCTGTGGTTCGTATGTCAGGTTGTGTGGGGCCAACAACAAAAGCCTGGTTGATCAGGCCCTGATCCACCATGAGGCCTGGTCACAGACCGGGCCACAGGGGCGTTGATCCCCAGAACCCTCTCTGTAACACTTGCAGTCTTTTTTTTTTTTTTAGCACAAGTTAATTTCCCACCAAGATAGGGTGACACCTCCCCAAAAGAGAAGAAATGCATTCATCATCATTTGTGCTTGTCATCAGTGTGCTGACATCACAGTTCAGATGACCCTCTCAGTTGCAATATGCCCACACCTCCTTTTATCATATTTTAATAGCTTCATTGTGCACCCCATACCCATGGAGTGGGCAGCAGTTAAAAAATAATTAAAAAATAAAATTTTATTTTTTTGCTAAGGTTACAATGTGTGTTTATATTTCATAATATGATTGGTACAAAGAGCCACTGGAGTGCCACAGGGAAGTGTCCTTGGTCCCCTGCTCTTCCTCTTATACGTCAATGATCTACCTAATGTATCAACACCTTAAGCCTATTCTCTTTGCTGACGATACGACACATGTCATCTCCCACCCTAATCTTGCCTCACTCAACACTATTGTTAGTGAAGAAGTAGTAAAAATATTGATCTGGATGACTGCTAAGACACTTACACTTAATACTGACAAAATCTACATTCTGTTTAGGAACAAAAGAGGTGCTGCCCAGCTGAACATAACGATTGACAACACTCCTATTGCTAAACATAATGAGGGCAAATTCCTGGGCCTGCACCTTGAGAGCAACCTGAAATTCAACACCCACATCCAACAAATAAAAATAGTATCCAAAACAGTTGGGATCCTCTCCAAGATACGTTTCTACGTACCACAATCAGCCCTACTCACACTATACTATTCACTCGTGTATCCCTACCTCACCTATGCTATTTGTGCCTGGGGATCAACAGCAGCAACTCACCTAAAACCAATAATAACCCAACAAAGTTGCAGTAAGAATTATCATGCAATCCAGTGCAAGACAGCACACACCTCCACTCTACAAAGACCTAAACCTACTCACTGTACAGAACATTCACACCTACTATTGTGCAACCTACATTTACAGAACCATAAATTCTAATATTAACCCTGAACTAAAACACTTTCTTGATAATTGCAACAGGACCCATAGACACAACACCAGACACAAAAATCCCTATGACATTTCCCGTATCCGGCTAAACCTCTACAAAAATTTGATGTACATAAAAGGCCCTAAAATCTGGAACTCCCTGCCTGAATACTATAGAACCGCAGACTTAACAGCCATTATCAAAACTACCGTTAAAAAAATCTCATCTCCTTAACACACCCCATCATCATCTAACCAAATGAAAACCACCTAATGCTCTTTTATGTATCATGAATGCACTCAAAACAATATAGATTGCTCTTGTTATCTATAATTCCCCTATAATTTACACCTACACCCACCCAAATGACTGTAAACATAATATTCCTAATATAGCTATTGCCTATTAAATCTTAAGTTAGTCGTAAGTTTGCCTAAGACACTCTTCCAGTATATGAGCTTCAACAGAGAATGTATCATGCCAAGACAAATCCAATCCCATTACTAAGTCTACAATTTGTAATATTATATGATTTGTACTATCTATTTCAAATCTAATTATGTATGTACCTAACTGGGTATGTATCTAATTGTATATCCAATAATATGTTAAAATGTACTGCTCAATTATAACCAATATTAATATAGAGTAAGAATTAGTATTAGTCTACCTGAAGTGCCTAGGCATGATAGTGGCCTTCTTTGTAATTAAAATTTTTTAACATTTAAACCACACATTGTAAGTTTCACAAGAAAATAAATATTTGTATTTGCACTATCATGCCGAGGCATTTTGGGCAGACTTAACCTAATACTTATAGACTACTTAAAGAGTGGTAGAATACAATATTTAATATTTTATTCTATTATTAATACGACATATTACAATTTATGATGCGAACATACATTTTTATGTTTGTAATTAGTTAAAAGATTACAGAAGCACATAATGAGTCTAGGGACTCAGCACCCATGTATTTCGAATTCAATATTCAAGTTTATATATACATTATATATATTTTTCTTTTTTTAATGCAGTGCAAAAAATTGTAGTATACATGCACAGCTGTCCCCCCATATATGCAGGGGATACATTCCAAGACTTACTGTGGATACCTGAAACTGCCAATAGTACTGAACTCCATATATGAGTCAGCTTCATTCACATTACTTAGCTATGATAAAGTTTAATTGATAAATTACACAAAGTAAACTGAGAATTAGCACTTTTTCACTGATGGGAAACATTTCTCTTAGGCTCTGAAAAACTGCCACCACCACTACTTTTGCACTTTGGTGCCATCAGTAAGCAAAATAAAAGATTTTTTGGCCACTGGAAACTGTGGCACTGTTAAAAACTGTTTTGCCTAACAGTGTTAGGCTACAAAAGAAAGCCATTAGCATGCTGTGTATTTCTGGCAAAATAATGGCGGTTAAAACACATTTGTTTTGTTTAATTCATGCTAAATGCTAAACCCACGTAGGTCATTCAGTGCAAGAAATGGAGGCTTGATCCTCGTCTAGTTAAGCACATTACAGTGGTAATGATCCTCGGAATGGGTGGGATACAGACCCATGGTGAGCGAGCCATAAAACTCAACAGTGTGTAAACCACTCACCATGGGTTCACCCCCCCAACCCCATTCCGTGATTTGTTTGCATTCATTGTATTATGATTTCATGAGTTATGATGGCAGTTCTGAGGGGACTTGAATTGTCATATATCCTCTCTCAGTCAATATTAATGAAAGTAGTGAAGAACGAGTAATAATAAGAGTTGAAAACTGAGAACATACTTGGTAGACAGCCTATCAAAGTGCAGGCACCGCCAGAACCATCTTTTCCACATGTACACCAATTGCAATCCTTCATCCATCGCGATCCTGGCTTACAGTAGGTATATGCAGGAGGGGGCAGCTCAGTACCCACTATATCTGTAAAAGAAAAAAAATTGGGTCAGTAAGTTAATATGGCACTACATGATTTGTGGGGACTAACATGGCTCTTAATCCAAGGAACTGAAGTTATCTTCCCTTTTCATGGCTCAACCTTAATTACTCATATCTGACATAAACAGAGATATAAGCCACAGCACCACGTCTTCCTCTGCTGACAATACCAAAATTTGCACGACTGTCATTCATTGAAGACACTGCAAATCTCCAAGTGGACATTAACCAAGTTTTTAAATGGGCCTCAGAAAACAATACGAGGTTCAATGATGAGAAATTTCAATTACTCTGATATGGAAAACTCAAGGAAATAAAAACTGGATCAGAATATAAAGCAAATTCCAATCACACAAAAGAGAAAAACTAATGTTAAGGACCTGGGAGTGATTATGCCAGAGAATCTCACTTTTAAAAACCACAACAATGTCTCTACCACATTTACTAGGAAAATGGTAAGATGGATAATGAGAACCTTCAAAACTAGGGATGCCAAGCCATTAATGATTCTTTTCATATCGCTTGTTTTCTCTAGGCCAGAATATTGCTGTACACTAATGGCCCCTTTCAAGGCAGGTGAAATTGCAGATCTGCAGAATATACAGAGAACTTTCACTGAATGTATAAGTACAATAAAGCACTTGGAATGCAGGCAAGAAAGCTACATGATAATATAATATACACTTGGAAAATCCTAGAGGGACTAGTCCCAAATCTGCACACGAAAATTACTCCCTACAAAAACAAAAGACTCGGCAGGCTGTGCGGTATTCCCTCAATGAAAAGCAGGGGATGACAACACAATAAGTGCCCCTCAAGGAAGGTTCCTTGATGCTGGTGAGGGGCTCTTGATCCAGGGAATTGGATCTGTGCTCCAGTTCCCTGAATTAAGCCTGAATACCTTTCACATCTCCCCCACAGGCGCTGTATAATCCTGCGGGTTTAGCGCTTCCCCCTTGATTATAATAACAACACAATAAGTGTAACAGACCCAAGATTGTTCATTTGCCTCCCAGCATACATATTGGGAATTACCAATAGACCCCTGGCTGTCTTCAAGAGGGAGCCAAACAGTCAACTAAAGTCAATACCTGATCAGCTGAGCTGTAGTTTGTACAGTGGTCCCTCGCTTTTCGTAGTTCTCGGCAATCGTAAATTTCGCCAATCATAGGGGTATTTTCATATAAACATGGACTCGCTTTTCATAGGTTGACTCGCGAATAGTAGTTAGTCCGGGACGCGTACGCACGGTGTGAGCCGGGGCGGCCTCCCTACCCAGCCAGTCTGGCATTGTTTACCAGTGAGTGAAGGTCCCCTCAAGTGCTCCTATGAAATATTTCATAATATTCCACTCATTTTAGTGCTTGCAATTACTAAATAAGCTACCATGGCTCCAAAGAAAGCTTCTAGTGCCAAGCCTGTGGTAAAGAAGGCGAGAAATATGTACAGTGACAAAGTCTTGGGCCATTTTTGGGAAGTGTTAAAGAGACGCCAGAAACAGAGCTCTCTCCACAGTTACTTTGCGAGACAGGACTAGAGTGACTCTCAAGGTGGTCCTAGTGGCATTAAGAAACAGAGAAGAGAAGCAACCCCAGAGAAGCAATTGGTACCTGAGGTGTTGCTGGAAGGGGATTCCCCTTCCAAACTGTAAACAGTCCAATCTCTCTCCTCTTCCAGTCTCCCATACACTAAGAAGAATCTCCAATAAAGGTAAGTGTTATGCTGTTAATGTTTCATTCATCATTTCCCATTGTATTGTTTATGTACTATATGTATATTTAGGGGAATGTATGAGAGTATAGTTTTACCAACGCTCTTATATGGGTGTGAAGTATGGGTGATGAATGTTGCAGCGAGGAGAAGGCTGGAGGCAGTGGAGATGTCACGTCTGAGGGCAATGTGTAGTGTGAATATAATGCAGAGAATTCGTAGTTTGGAAGTTAGGAGGAGGAAGTTGGAGGTTAGGAGGTGCGGGATTACCAAAACTGTTGTCCAGAGGGCTGAGGAAGGGTTGTTGAGGTGGTTCAGACATGTAGAGAGAATGGAGCGAAACAGAGTGACTTCAAGAGTGTATCAGTCTGTAGTGGAAGGAAGGCGGGGTAGGGGTTGGCCTAGGAAATGTTGGAGGGAGGAGGTAAAGGAGGTTTTGTGTGCGAGGGGCTTGGACTTCCAGCAGGCATGCGTGAGCGTGTTTGATAGGAGTGAATGGAGACAAATGGTTTTTAATACTTGACATGCTGTTGGAGTGTGAGCAAAGTAACATTCATGAAGGGGTTCAGGGAAACCGGCAGGCCGGACTTGAGTCCTGGAGATGGGAAGTACAGTGCCTGCACTCTGAAGGAGGGGTGTTAATGTTGCAGTTTAAAAACTGTAGTGTAAAGCACCCTTCTGGCAAGACAGTGATGGAGTGAATGAAGGTGAAAGTTTTTCTTTTTCGGGCCACCCTGCCTTGGTGGGAATCGGCCAGTGTGATAAAAAAAAAAATGTATATTTCATGTAAAAAAAATTTTTGTTTTAATACTTCTGGGTGTCAGGAACAGATTAATTGTATTTACATTATTTCTTATGGGGAAAATTGATTCGCAAATCGTAAATTTCGTTTATAGTAACGGCTCCAGGAACGGATTAATTACGAAAAACGAGGGACCACTGTATGTTGGTTTGTATATGGCCAGCAGTAAGAGCCTGGCTGATGAGGCCCTGATCCACCATGAGGCCTGGTCATGGACCAGGCCACAGGGGTGTTGACCTCCAAAACCCTCTCCAGGTATACCTGTACCTAAATAAACTTATTCCCTTTCTTACTTTTCAGGTTTCCTGATGGGTCAGTACGACTGTGAAATCCTCACATCTCCGAGATTGAGCAGGATATTCTGTACCACTTGGCCCTGGGTTCAGGCTCCCATGATCTGGTGGAGATGTTCAGTGAGATCCGCTTTGTTTGCATGGGAGGCACACCCAAGCGCATGGAACATCCTTCAGGTATATACCTCCCATTCCCCAGGTAATGAATGCATGTCCAAAACAGTTGGCATCCTCTCCAATATACGTTATTATGTACCACAAACAGCACTACTTACATTATACTACTCACTGATCTACCCCTACCTCACCTATGCTATTTGTGCCTGGGGATCCACAACAGCATATCACCTCAAGCCAATAATAACTTGACAAAAGGATGCAGTACAAATGATCACGGTCCACTGCTAGACACTTCCCCCCCCCCCACTCTTCAAAGACCTAAATCTACTCGCTATACAAAACATTCACTCTTACTACTGTGCATCCTACAAATACAGAACAATAAATTCTAATATTAATCCTGACCTGAAACACTTCCTTGATAGTTGCAACAGAACCCATAGACATAATACTAGGCACAAAAATCTCTGACATACCCCATATCTGGCTTAATCTTTGTAAAAATTAAATGTACATAAAGACTCAAAATCTGCAACTCCCTGCCAGAAACCTCCAGAGCCACTCTCTGCCAGCATCTTCAACACTACCTTAAAAAAATACCTCACGTTAACGTATCCCAAGTTCCCAACAACAACTAAATACATTGCCACAAGCATATGGAAAACAATATACAGTGGACCCCCGCTTAACGATCACCTCCAAATGCGACCAATTATGTAAGTGTATTTATGTAAGTGCGTTTGTACGTGTATGTTTGGGGGTCTGAAATGGACTAATCTACTTCACAATATTCCTTATGGGAAAAAATTCGGTCAGTACTGGCACCTGAACATACTACTGGAATGAAAAAAGTTCGTTAACCGGGGGTCCACTGTATTCTTATTCTTATCTGTAATCCACAACTATTGAACATATTAAATGTGTTCAAAATATGTTAATATGCTAGAATCCTCATTAGTTGTAATCAATCTCGTTATGTATAATGTGCTAAAATATAATGCTGTAACTTGTTATTCAACTACTTGTTAATTTACTTACTGCTAAACCACTACTACCATACCCCCGGCCGGGATTGAACCCACGGTCATAGAGTCTCAAAACTCCAGCCCGTCGCGTTAGCCACTAGACCAGCTAGCCACAATAAGATTCATCCAACTAGGCATATTTCTACACCATAGGAAGGTTAGCACAGGCACCACTGACCACAAATGCAAGTTTTTACAGACGAATCTCCAGCTAGCGTGGCCGTGACGAACTCTAGCTCAAGTCCCTTCACTGCCATCAACATGACTCAAGAAATCGTAATGACACTATTGCAGTGAAGGGACATGAGCTAGAGTTCGTCACGGCCACGCTAGCTGGGGATTCGTCTGTAAAAACTTGCATTTGTGGTCACAGTGGTGCCTGTGCTAACCTTCCTATGGTGTAGAAATATACCTAGTTGGATGAATCTTATTGTGGCTAGCTGGTCTAGTGGCTAACGTGACGGGCTGGAGTTTTGAGACTATGACCGCGGGTTCAATCCCGGCCGGGGGTATGGTTTGTTTGCAATCGTGTCATTACGATTTCTTGAGTCAAACCACTACTACCTCTGTTGATATATAAAAAAAACAATGTTCAATTCGAGCCAACTATGATATATATGCCTAGTATTAAGTAGTAGTCTGTAAAGCATTAGGTTTAGTCTGCCCGAAATGCCTCGGCATGATAGTGGCTTTCTTTGCGCTTAGCAAATCAATATTGCAATTACACATAGTAAACTATGCAACAAAATAAACTCCTTAATCCTTAATAAGCTAACCTGTAATTCTTTAAACAATTAAATTGATAAATGTTATGCAGCATGTATTAAAAACTTTTTATTCAGTTCTCTTTTTTTTTTTTTCCTTGTATACCAAAAATTAATTGTTTAAAACCCATTTTAGAGACGTACATACATGTACAGTGAAAACCCTTGGTTTTTTTCCCGGCGATCTTAGTTTTCCCCAATTTGGGTTTTTTTTTGGCCGGGACTTTTTGGCTTTATTTTTTTCGCGATTACCCCCCTTTTTTTCTTTGATCTTTACGGAACCTGTCTCCCCAGCTCTCAACAAAGCCCGCATGCATTCTCACCAGTGTAACATTGTTTCTAGGTCGGAACAACCCCCCGGGTCATATAAAAAAAAATTTTTTCATAATATGTTTCTTTTTGTTATTCCCCTTGTGTATCCTGTGTGACTGCAAAAAAGGGACCATGGCCCCCAAAAAAAGCCCCGGGGCCCAGGTT